GTTCTGTCCCAGACTCCTGTAGGCGGGAAACGGGCTTCGATCCCGAAAGATTCTCATTTTAGAAAAATGTTTCATCAGCGAAGGATCAGCGTGTTCCTCCGTGTTTATTGCGTGAGATCCGTGCCGTCGACAGAGAAGATAGGAAACGTTGAATGATTCAACAACGGATCGACTTTTTGAGCGGCGACGACGCGTGCCCAGTATCTACTGTGAACTTTCCTTTGTTTATCCTTTATCGTTGACGTTTGTCTAGCGGCTCGTCGGTGGATTGTTTCCATCGGATTTTTGCTCAACTTTCGCCTTCCCCTGGGCGTTGGAGCTGCACGTGTAGCGAGAATTATTGTGCTTATTTATCGCGTCGGTATCATCTTATCTGCCCCTTATGCCGATCATCTCATATGGCGCAATTTCCCGACGACCAAAATCGCTGACGCCTCACGCCGATGTGGCTTCCACGATTAACCCGTTCGTTTTCTCTAGTTCGGTATCAAGTCTCATTTAGATCCAGTTTCACTGATTGTCGCATTGGAGTCGGGCAGTCGCACGTGCCGTCGGTCGATATCTCGCAAAGCAAGTTTTCTTTTAGCCATTCAAGATCGATGACCCATCAAAGCAAAACAATCTGAATGACACGGCGGTCGGAAGCTCTCGCACAGACTGCTGAACTCCTCGCGTCCGAATGCCAAGCTCTCATAGCATCGGGAAAGATAAGGATCCCATCGGGAAGCGTGCCGCCATTCGAAGGTCGATTTTTTCGGGGGGAGGCATTAGAAAGTAGCGGATTTATTTAGATCGCGCGGCTCAGTCCGGATCCTGATCCCTTTAGTCGTTCACAGTGCTGGATCGCGCCGATTGTGAGCGTAAATATTCGTTTGCATGTCTGACGAAATTTTAGCAGCGCTGGCAAGTGGTGCTATGATCATCTCACACCAAACATAGGCGCTGCCCCCCTCATCTCCGGTGTTCCCAGATCGCGCTGAATTTCCTCTCGTGAAAAGGAGACTCGCTCTCGTTCACACGCAAGAACGGTAGGCTGGCGATTTAGGGCCAGCTTCGACGCTCCGTCCCTCGATGCAGCTCGGATAGTCTTCATCGGGCATTTTCTGAGATATGCTGAGAGAAGATGGCGTACGCAAATATTCCCGCGCTTCTTTCGACATCGAGGATCTCTCTAGCTTTCTTTTCGACGAGAAATTGCACCATGATCATCACACCGCCATACTTCGGGGTGATATGCGGTGGTGGTTTCCAAAGCGATTCAGGACTCGAAGTTCAGAAGTTTTCCTTTGGTTTTCTTCCTCTCGAACGATCGCGACATGAAAAATCGCAGCAGTAATGATCATTATTCTATCTCCTCCGTGAGCCATTCTTTTTCCCGGGAAATTTCCGATGTCTGGAGAGATCGAGCGATCCTGTCTTCTTTCCTCCGCATCGATCGCGAGAGTATTCGAATCTTCGAAATGGAAAGCGTTGAATCGAGAGTTGGCGGGTCGGATGACCTCTCTGAAACACGAACCCCAGGAGTACATACTATATGAGATGTTTCCCGTCCCCGCCAAGAATATCTTTCGCGAGCGTATCGCAATCGCCGGAGGCTTGTCAGCAGTATTCGACCGATCGCAGACTACAGCGAATAGACGCAAAGTGCCGAGAGCGAGATGATATCAAAAGAATGATTACGTATAGGTATTTCACCTAAGGACATTCTCACGGGGCGAGAAGCCTGTAAATACAAATACCACGTTCGTACTCACCCTGCGGATGAGTAGAATATATTTTGCGAGCCATTAGGAGAAGAAAATAGGGACAGAACTGTCGTCCAATTGGGAAAGCTTTCCCCTGATGTACACGTGTAGTGGTCGACAAAGATTGTTTATGTGAGGCTTTATGGCTCACGGTGGAGTGAAAGCCCAATCCAGATCCGCTCATAGTGCTGATTTGTGTGATAAGATCGCTTCACGAAGCACTGGGCAATTTTCACATCGTCCGCCATGATGAGCTTGATAACTCTTCGGACCACCACCGCCGCCCTTCAGTCGGAAAATGCTTGTTTTGCTATGCTTTCTAACAACCCTAAATCCACCAGCTAGAATTGCGGGTGATGATTAGCACAGCGGTTTTTCTAAAATATGGCGAGATGTTCACTCACTGTGAATGGTTCTCAGCGGCTCCAACGGTAATAGACAGAGACCGGCCCACCGCGAGAGAAGAATATAATTCTGGACTCATATTCGGCGGGGTAGTTGTGGGTGAATTGCGATAGCAAACCCCTCTCGGCCTGGGTGCAGATGGCCCGGTACAGGGCTCCCCATTCTTGTTCCACGGCTTAGCTCTCTATGCATGAGGACCCAGAGCTCGTCCGAGCTGAAAGTTCATTATCAGGCTATGAGCAGTCGGGCATATGTGCGGTAGTTACTTGTCTTGAAGAAGCATATATAAATATTTCCACGATCGGTCTCACGAACGGCGAGACGAGGCGGCCCAGCGGTAACGGGGCTCGCTGATCGATCGATCGATTGATACCGTTGGCAGAGACAGCACGTGTTGGAAAGTTCTTGGAGCCGATTCGGCTCCGCCGGTGGCACGTCGGTACCACATCCGGATCCGCCGACCGGTCAGAGCAGAGCCATTTCCCGCACTGCCCACATGAGATTCGTGGTATGCATTGTGAATGGCTTGGTGAGCTCGAAGAATCAATCCAATCGAAAGAAGAGACTTCGCTCATCGATGAGGACTATTCGTTTTAGCATTGCTATCTCCCCGAGAAAAAGACTCCGAGTGTGACAGAAGGAGAAGCATTTACTGCTGCCGGTAGCTCGTCCGAATCGCGGCGAAGAAGCCCAAGTGACGACAAACGATCGAAGAGAAATAATGATACGAGCGGCATCGTATTTCTTTACAAGCAGGCACAGGCTCTTCATCCGGCAGACGGCAGCAGGGAACGGCGCAGGAGCTCACGGCGGGAAACGGTAACGGAAAAATGAATGGACGAAACGGCGGAAATCGTGATCTTCGCATTCCGAGCAGAAGGTTAACAAAAGAACGTAAAGGGTTACACGGTGCCAACAGACAAACAAATACAGGATCTTCATTGCCGAATCAGACTGCTTCGTCCATCTTTTTACTCAATGAAAGTGTTGTAAGCGTACGATCATTATCAATGATCATGGCGTACGGTCATCCACCCATAGCTTGTAATTATTACCTATGCAATACGCGGACGATGGTCAATGTAAAACAATCAAGAGACAATGTGGAAAAATCAACGTTTTATCGGTTAGGTTTAATCTGCGGAAAGCGCGAACGCCAGACGCAAGCAGCGGTGAATGGTTCGACGGCGTCGGTCGGGCTTTCGCTCGTCTGTCGTCCGTCTGGCTGGAGGCTGTGTGGTCTTGTGCGTGAATCACTGACCACTTATTGGATGCGGATCTGGGGGACGGCGACCGCCTGGACTGAAGGAGCTCCGCCTCAATTTCCCGCTTCGGATTTACATTACTTCGGTCTTCGATAGAAGTTCTCTATCTTGTCAGATAAATCGGGATCGTAGAGGAAGCTCGGCTCATCGAATGGGAGGTGGCTCAACATGTCTTCGGCTCGTCAGCACTGAGTAGAAGTCTGAAAGATGTTCTATCTGTGTTGAGCGCTGTGCTCATCACGCTCTCTCACGATCCTTTTAACAAAGCCGCGCGGCGTCTAGAATTTTTAACAGCGAATACCTCGGGAGGGAGCGCTGTTCTTCATGCTTCACATTTACCGTGCTCGAAAGCCCGGGGAATTATCTAAGTAATTAAAACTGCCGACACATCGATCCCGGAATTTATCGATCGCTGGGCGTTCTCGGAGTGAAAGAAAAGCTCATCTGCCAGCCGGGATCGGCGAGCGAAGGAGCGGGAAAACACACTTTGCAGTCGCCGCGCGAAGTGAGAATGCAAATACTGCCCGCCTGCGAGCTGAGGAATTTCGTTCGTCGTCTGGGCGTGGAAACGGATGCTTCGGCGAAAGTTTTCCAACTGAATGTCCAATGGAACGAGAGTCGGTGAAATATATAAAGAAGTAGGTATACCTGCGCAGCCAGTAATCGAGAAGCGACATCTTCACTGCGCCTTACGGAAATACGAACAGCGCAAACCCACATACCGGTAGCCCCCTCGACTCGTCTGATGCCTGAATGTTTGGAAGGCTGCCTGGCGGATCGCTCGGTCGATCCGACGGTCTGTCGGTCGCCGGGTCTATCGCCGGGTCGGGTGACGCACAGTGTGACTGACTCGGAGCTGGAAGAGCAGCGGCAATCTGGGAAAACATCTCCTTTGAATTCGGATATATCTGATCCGAGAGTAATTTATTCAGACGGAATTCATTGAAACGAAATCCACAGCCAACCACTTGCACGAGTGCGCCAGAAACGTTCGTATTCACGTACAAAGCGTCTTCACTAAGAACGTATCAAGATGCCGGAGCCGTTCTCGACGCGGTCATAAAAGTACAGCGGTCCAATGTTCGAAAGTCTCGAACTTGAACGCGTCCCAGACTTCGGAAAATTCGCCATAAAACGCGGGACAAGTCCGAGAAAACGTAAAAAGCGATCCCCATCGAGTTCCGTGGACGCAGGGAATCATTGAGAGGTCTGACGAGCGGGAGGTGGGAGAGTTACTATGAAGCGCGATCCATACGGGGGATGATGGTAGGAAACTTTCCATGGGATTATTCTCTGGCGAGGACTGTCAAGCGTTCTGAACAGAAAATAAATCCCGCTTCTTGGAACTTTTTCCGATGACTCTCATCCTCGTCTAATGAATACATCCTTGGGGAGCAAACCTCCAAGACTCTCTCGTCGACGGACGCGCGTATATCACGAGCCGACAGAGTCGTCGGGTAGATCGATCGTGGATTAAATGGGCAGACGGGCTCTCTACGAAGACCCAGTCCCGACAATAAATAATTGCATCCAATTAATCACAGACCGATGATCAAAACCTTAAGGGGTTTCTTTTCTCTTACAGTGTTCGATGCTTCCGCCAAAATTGCTGCTGGACTCGTGGAGGGTTCACTGACAGAATTCGGTAACTATTACGAATGTCTCAAGGTCAGCGTCAAGGACGACTACGATGAAGAGGAATCGTTCAGAGGAAGCTACTGCATGGTCAGATCGCGTCCGCCTCTTCCCCCGAAGCCTAGAATCGTCCCTGGAGATTTCACACCCGTGAACATATCAATGTTCTCTGAAAACTCGGTGAGTGCGCCCACGAAAATTACAGCGTCTAGGAGCTCGAATTTGTAGTCGAGCGCATACGGAACCGGCCGTCAGAGTGAAAACTCAGCCGAAGGATCCTTTTAGTGGGCGAAGAATGAGTTCACGAACTATAGTTTGGTTGGCAGATCGATTCCGGCTGTAACGCTTTGACGCAACACTGTTACCGCTCAAGCTCCTTTCACGGTCAAGTGTTTTAAGGGTGGCTCTAGCACAGCAGGGCGTCGTCGCATCTTCTGATCCATCCTGTACCTTGGCCGGTTTCTGGAAAGATCAATGGCCCTCGTGCCCTCTTCGTCAACGCAGCACCGATTCCGTAAACATACTAATCGGGTTCCACGAGCCGTGGCTAATCTCAGACGCTATGTAAATTCAAAGGTTCTTGATCGATAAGGTCCGATGGGGCATCCGTATAGATGAAGCGGAAGGGGTCGGATGTCCGCTTCCCTTTTCAAGAGCAACGATGATAATCGGAATTCTCCGTTATCTGACCGACAGAGAGGAGATTCAGCCGGTCGGATAGCCGACTACTTTCTTCTCCGAATCACTCGGGATGAGGATCGCTTGCGACCACGATGACGTTCGAGACGCGATTTGCTCGTCGAAAACAAGTCCCGTGGGTTGAAGAATTCAGCCAGCGTCCATATCCTCCCGCTCCGCATGTCGCTGTCAGGAATAAGAAGTCATTCCTGTTACGCTTAATCTCTCTACTATTGGTCGTATACCTAGGAATTTCACATTCCGATTGGTTCGACGATTCGGCTCGAGATAAGCCTCGTGTTTGATCGGTTAGGAATGGCAAAGTCAAGACATCCCATGTGGGATGAAATTCAGAGTATGTATAACGAATATTGAAATCGAAACTTTCAGAGAAAAACTCAAAATTATTGACAGTTGCGCCACTGGTGGGGCTTTAACGCCCTGCGTTAACCTTTCAAGCGATCGGTCAGCTCCCCAGCAGGAGTGTCACGTTATGTTTCGCGGATGTATCTTTTCGCTGCTTTGAGGATTTGACGCTTTCCCTGCGATGAGAATTTCTCGCACGAGCTGGAATCGCCGGAATCAGAAGACTTTCATCGTGCGTTGACGAACTTCCAGTGCTGAGATGCGTGGACAGAAAGAAGATATAAAGTTCGGACAGCGTGAGCTCCACTGCCCAGTAGCGCTAATTTCTTAGAGTGGAAGTGACCACCACCGCCCTGAATTACAGCTAACGTCTTACGTCGTCGTAGGGATAGAGCTCCGATCTGGTGATCTTCCAAAACTTCTTTTGATGACCGATATCTACGGTATCCCTTTCGGAGGATTGGATGCCGTACAGGATCCGTGTTGATCGGAACATGAAAGCTAGATATGCAGACGGTTTTGTGGATCATCAATACGCGGGAGGCGGTGGGGCAAAAAACAAGCTTGCAGCTTATCCAAATCAATCAAATCTGACGTCATCTACTCCATCTCGCTGAATTGAGGGCTGCTTCCTCATTAAAGGAAAATAATTGCCGGAATACGGCGCTGCCCTTCCTACGCGTTTATCTTCATTCATTGATGGCTCGCCAAGAAATGCACGTGTGACGTTGAAATGACGTCTCACGCGGTCTATCGACCCGCTTCGGGGAAGGGAGCAAATTAATCATAGAGGTTTAGAGGGCGTTTCTGAAACCTAGCAAAGACCATATCCCTAGCCTTGCCGAGCGGAGAAAGCGGTGGAGAGCCCGATGGTCGGTTGAGGAAGACGAATCCCTGGGCGTCGAGTCATCCGGAAAGCAGCGATGGAACATTTCTGGAAACATCTCAATCAGAACTGAAGCGTTCGATCATGCTCAAGATCAGCTGACGTGTTGTTGCTTTTCAATATATGTGCATAGGCACGATTATCATATGAATCACGGAGTTTGCCTGCGATGCCCATTATCGAATTTGGTATTCGGTTCCTAATAACCGAAACTTCGGGCGGCTTCGTGATCAGTCGATAGAAGATGGTACGCCACACATTAATCAAAGGAACGTATCGAATTTCGGGTCGGTCCACCATACAATCCAAACACTCATTAGCGAAGGCGAGTCAAACATAGATTCGTGATTATCCAATCAGTGGACATATGAAGGGACGAACAGGGTGTTCCGAATGAGAGCTACTGGGTCAACACTGATACTTTACTTTTCTATCTCGTTCCCCGGGCCTAATTCGATGCCGATGTCGAGAATTATTGCGATAGATGGAAGAATTCGTTTCTATTTTCTTCAATACATATCGCTTAGGTAAATCTAAAATACTTTACCGTTTTAACGAAATCACGGATTCCAGATGATGCGTGACCTGCTCACCGGTTCCGGAACTTTCTATTACACACGAGCGCGGATGGGGCTCTGTCTGCCTTCAACATGCAGCGTCGAAGATGTCAACGCCATTATAAAACCATGTAATAGAATTTTCGTCATCTATTCGTTAGAGAAGAATTCCAGCATCCGCTCTCAATTCTGTACTCGCCGCGACGTCACCCCAGATCCTATGCGGCATTTTCAATCAGCATAAAGTGTCGGCAAGCTGGCACATCGCTCAGATAGATTACGATTGATGGTGCGGTCGGATGAGCCGTCAGAATCGAGCACGAAATACGAATGCATTCGTCATGATGCTTCGCTGATTGTAGCTCATCACAGCGATTTTCGGCTGTTTTCTGCGGCTGATGAGCTGGGTGTCCGAGTAAGCTTAAAGGCGCTTCATCTGGCCTGCACTTAATGAAACTCTCCTCGGAGAATATGATTTTTTTCTGTTTTCTTCTGGAAGTTCCTCTTGCGAGCACTATCGATCACAAACGGTGACTGGAGATTTCGATAATTAAGGAGGTTTCTGGGTTTTTCTTAAATTCGCTAACGCCCAGAAATCGGGGTATGAGGGAAATTGTCGTATTTCGGGGTTCGTGCGATCCAGAAGTACGGAATGCTCAGCTGGTTCCGAAACTCTCGTAAAAAATGCCCTGTATCTCTATTTGCAGTGTTCGAAGGGCTCCACTGGGAGGCTAACGTCGAGTACTGCCGCCAACGACAAGATCGGAATGATTTGAACTCGGAAGAGTGGGCTTGTGTGTAAGTATATTTTCGAAATGGATTTTTCCAATCGTGTTCACGATTAGACTGCTCATATTGAGCAATTTCCCCCGAGCGATACCAGTGACTATGTCGCCTCGGTATTTCCATTACCCGACAAGACGTAACGTTCCGTGGTGTTCAGAAAAGCGGTACGTGTACGTAGACGAACACAACGGTCGTCGTATTCCGAAACGGATCTCTTTCGCTTCTCGAATGACTGTTCCGGTCGTCTCCCGAAGAGTTGATCCATCATCGGCCACATCTCCCTCCGGATACGGTTGAATTTACAAATCCGAACACGATCAGCGACGGCGCTCCAGACCCTAATCAATAACGCGGACATTTGTGACCCTAATTGATTCGCGAATTTCATTGCACACCCTTTCCTTTTTCGGTCTCCCAATACGGTTTAAAGCTTGCCCGCACGATACCATTTCGGCTTTTAAGACTCCGAAGCTGTAACGGGAACGCCGATCGGCCGGAACCGTGAGCGGATATTCAGCCTTGACGCGAGCTCGCTATTCCGGGATTTCAGCTTAGGAATATCGAACTTGCCGGACATCCGCTGACAGTCTCATGGTGGATCCCTCACACACGAGTTCTCGTTCTCGGTGCAGAAGCATTGTTCTTTGTCGGAGATGGTTCCGCAAATGTTTATTTATCTTCGTCTAGTGCCTCCGGGAAGTTTCTGAACACTGATAAATTATGGGAACCGCGAACGTTCCGGTCGGAAAATTCAATCACAAGCCGAGGCGAACGTAGATATTATCAGAATTCGATGTAGACACTGTGCGGCTGTAATGACTCCGCTCGCACCGGAGCACTACCGATGAAGGCTCCGGCTGCGGAAAAACGATTTATCACGGCTACCCGTTAAAGTATCCGAATCGATTGTCTCCCTGCACATTTGCCGAACATCGGATGTATGACAATGAATCGGGAGAAAAAGCAATAAGCATTCTATATCCGAGAACAGAATCTTCCTGGCTGTATTGATGCTCCCGGTCATCGTTGCCACGACAATACATGCGTGTCTCTGGATCATGGGTTACCAGGCGGACAAGGCCCCAAAAATCGAGAGCCCTCTGCTGAAAACCGTCCTATCGCTATCAGCCTACGAGACTGCGAGAAAGGTTTGTCTCGATGCAAGACGGAACGTTCTTTAAATCGATGAGAAATCAGTGGGAGTCATATTCTATTCAAAGACCAGTTTCGGACAAAAACAGGAGCAGAACTTTGCTCCGCTTGCGATTGCTATGGAGCGAGCTGCGATGTTGAAGACGGAGTTAACAATCTCGATCTCTCCTCTGAAGATTTTGGTTGTGAATCCTCCGAAGGATGAGCACACCAAAAACTTAGCGCTCTTCCATGGACTCCGAGCTGCAACCGTAGTCTGGATCATCTGGGTTCATCATTTCGCCTACAACGATGTCGCTGTGTACTGTAAGTGAAAACGAGTCTCCTCCAAAAGCTCTTGGGGGAAGAAGTTTCTTTTGCGCGATCCTGTCTCGGCTTGAATTCCGCCTTAGCCAAATCGGAAACCCAACCACCCTCCCGATTTGTCTCGGCTGAATAGTCGTGTTCCTGTCGCAAAAGTTTTAACACGAAGCAGATCCGTGTCTGAGCGACGCAGTCGACGATTTTGTTTTTCGGTTTCGCATTTGTCTCACTGCACGAAATATTTTTTTTTGACAGCTTCCGCACGAATTTCGCGTGAAATCGTCGGCTACTACAGAAACCAGATATTCAATAACGGTTGGCTTGCTGTCGACACCTTCTTCTTCATATCGGGATTTTTCCTCGCGTATGTAATTGGTCGAATGAAGGGCAGGATCGGCTTCGTTAAGGTGAGTCATCAGTCACCCAATAACTCAACTACCCCACACACTGAAGGACTCGGATTCGTGTCAGAGATAAACCTCCCCAAAGATGAGCAAGCCCGTATCCTTCATTTTGACTCGAGTCCTCCCATATAGTTCACGCCACCTCAGGATGTAGAGCTAGTAGAGATTCTGCTGAAGATTCGCTGGTGAAGAGGTCCACGGGTCCGTCGAGGCGAGCCGTAATCTGGAGACCTGCCCCGCCGCGGCAAGTTCTCGGCCTTTGGCGGTGAATGAGATGGATTGATTGAATCGCTTATCGCGAATGACTCGCGCTCGAATTCAGGACTCGGACCGGAGGAATATGTGAGCGCTCGTTCTGAAACCGTGAGATGCATGCATCTCGACGGAGTCCCGCCGTACAAGAGTATCAGAGGAGCGGACGTAGACGAGATCCCCTGCGGGTTCAAAGCTACACGAGCCGCTGTTATATGGTCTAGAGTCAGAGGTAGACACATTGAATACGTTGTCGATTGTCGTCACATGATTACAGTTTGAATCATATCTTACGTAAACGGATCGCGTGTCGGCCTTCAGCACAAATACCCATTACAAATCTAATCGAGATGGAATCAGACTTGGTCTAGACGACGATCATTCACGAAGCGATCATCACTGAAATTACGATTGGTCACGCATAAGAATGCACCGAGAACCGCGAAAGTGTATTCGCTCCCCGATCCCGTTAGTACCCGGCGAAGCTCTGAGTGGAACCGACGGAAATCTTTCCTCGCGATGGCCAAGCAGTGTTTATACATGCAAGCTCAAAGTGGGTGGGAAGGAGCTTCATCAGACGGCCATGGATTTGAGCTCGGGCGCCTTCCGTCTTTGCGTGACGCTCCCGCCAACACTGCGCTTCTCCGCTTTGGAGCGATGACAGCTCGGCCGCCCATCGGCCGAAAGCAAGCGACCCTTCGGGGGATAGAAACAAAACATTTGCATCGTTAATTTCACCTACGACTCCTCTGGATATGCAAGAGCTTCCGACGGAACCCATCCTGCTGGCATCATGACTGACCGGTCCTCTCACTTGGCTGCCGGTGCCCTTTCGCAGTTTCCCCGGTTCCCAGATAATTAATCATCTATTCGCTGTCTCACGCGCACCCGCCGTCTGCCCGCTTAATACCAGTTCGGAGCGAGGAGGAGAAACTCAAATTCATGGAGCGATTGCCTCCGCATCCATTCGACGTCATTTAGGATTCCGGCTCGAACTTACTTGGCCGGGGCAAAGTCTCAGTACGAAAATCCGTCCCAGCGCGGGAATTCCTCTCAGATCTTATCGCTTATCGTTGATCAGAAATGAAAATACAATAAGAGACAAGAAGCAATCGATGTTGAAACAATCCAATTTCCCGAGACCAAACCCATGGCAGCCGATCGCTCGGTAGCAGCGACCAATCGGGGCTATTCGATCTAAAAACTGCACAACGCTTATCGATCGATTCCTCGATTTTCCGTCCACTGGAGTTTCTCCCCGATCTGAACCTGCCGTCCGGGACCGACGCCGTCATTTGTCATCGTCGGTAGCTGAATCATTCCAATCATGAATCACACACATTATCATGTTAAGCGATCACGCTACGGTCAGGAAAAATCCATGTTATCAGTGTCATGACGGGCCTGCGATCGGCAGTCGATTCACGCTTCGAGCCAAAGCTTAATTGACAGTATCTGATTTTTTATGATTATCTTTCAACTGAATATGACATCCACAATTTGCACTCAGCTTGATCGGCGCAGCTTCGTAGCTTTGAGAATTTCCGATTTGGCTTCACTTCGCCTTCATTGATGTGCGGTTGAAAGTTGGTATATGCTGGGAGCAAGCGGAAGTCTCAGGTACTTTTCATTGAGGAATGTGTTCCCCTGCGCGGTGAATAATGAGAACCGCATTGCTGCGCCGCGAGAGGTCGACGAGGGGAGTTTGATAGTCCGAGGCATACTTGTGAGTATAAGCCTAAGTCGAGGATTTCTTCTCTTCCCACCCTCAGGTCGTGATGTTCTACGTCGTTCGCTGGTGGCGTCTTATCCCTATGGTGTTCGTCGGTATCGCGACTCTCTTCTTGGTGGCGAAGGTGAGCAATCAATGGACAATGGTTTCTACGGTATTCCGCGGCGTACTTGATCGAGATTTCGCATTACGGGCCGCGGTCCCTCAATTTCGCACCTCTGAATCGCGGAGCAGTTGACTCCCTGTCGTTTTCCATCCTTCTCTAATGGATCTGAGACGAGGGATGCATCCTTGCAGGCTGGAGACGGTCCTATCTGGCAGGAGTTCATCGGTAAGGAGCTGCAGAAATGTCGGAATCAATGGTGGCTGGTGCTCCTCAACTTCCAGAATATTCTCCACCACGACGAGTTGGTGAGTTAGGAGTCGGTTGCTCCCCGGAGCTTGGGGATTCATGGGAGAGCTATGGTGGGAGGATATCAAAACCGTCCGTCTTCCTTTCAAGTGCATGGTGCCCTTCTGGTATATTTCGGTCGATACACAACTATATCTAATATTCGTGGGCTTGGTCATCTATACTTTCAACCCTCGTAGGTGAGTCGGATGGAGTCCTATTAATCTGGAAGATGAAGTACCGGAATGCGGGCATGCATGGCTTTCGAATCCGGGGCAGATGCATTTAATTATTATGGATGCTTCAAATGAATTATCCACTTTATTCGACTTCCGAAAATTGCTCATTCGAAGATCTATTGCCTGGAAGGTCCACTACTGACGACGACCGTGTTTCGGATTTGTTTGAGTTCGGTTATTCTTGTTCATCGATTGTTTGTCTTTCCAGCGACGGATACAAACAAGCGAAGAGAGGATTCCTGATCATGGCGGCGATATCGCTTGCCGGAATGATCATCCTAGCCGTACAGAGTTTCGTTAACGAATATCACCCTACGGCTCTATACGTCGCTGGCGATCTGACGTAAGTAACTGGAGACTTGTTCGTAGTGAGCCCGATTCGCGCCGCTTCTCGATCGTCGCTGCCGCTTGGAATCGTTCCATAAATGGATGAAAAACGATATATTCAATAATTTCACCCGTATCGAAAATCATTTTCCGAACCATGTGTTCGGATTTGGATGCGCTACCTTCTCATCTGTAACTCGGGAGCTTCGCCTTCTTTCGTATGTCTCGAATGCGAAGTCTGATATTCGTCTTCCATTCTTGACCCTTCATCTGTAACATGTGTAATATAGGATGTAACAGTGAGACGCGCCTCTGGGAGCGTCCGCTTTTCTTGTGCAGTTTATCAATATAACTCGAAGAGGCGCGCTGGGCGACGATGGTTGGATATTGATCGAAGAGCCGGTGAAATGAATTCAGAAGCAAAAAACTCGAGCGAGGAAACTCAGAATAATTATCTAATTTGTCAAGGTTCACGACGTCCATGCTGTCGATGACTTATATGCAGCCCTGGGCTCACTGTGGGCCCTTCGTCATCGGAATCCTTTCCGCCTGGATCTATCTGAGGAAAAATATCGTTTTCTTGCCGAAGGTGAGCGCCTAACCGACGGCGATCATTCATGTGGAAAAATCGCGTCTGTCGTCATCGAATAATTGAAACATCGTCTTTCTGATCCGCGTCCGACGTCGTAACAAGCGATTCGTTCTAGCTCGTCGAAGTGACAGGGTGGATTTTAACGGCCATCGGTATGCTCGGAGTTCTTTTCGTGACGAAAAATTGGGGCACGGGAGACTTACCCGCTCAGTGGGTGTCGGCAACTTACACCTCGACGCATCGAACGATCTGGGCGGCGGGTCTCGCATGGATTGTCTTCACGTGTACGACAGGCCGTGGAGGTGCGTTCAATGCTCATTCGTTTCAACCTATCAGGGAACGATTTCACCGAGAGGCTGATCGGATGACTAAATGATCGCTGAAATGATTGATCAACCAGGATCTGAGTGATTACTTTGAGCTCATCGAATCGATTCCCTTTTTTCCTCCAGGAATTGTGAACCACATCCTCAGCTACCCGGCCGTGGTGCCCATTTCTCGCCTGTCTTACGCCATGTATATCATGCATGTCCCATTCATCTGGCATCGCATGTGGACGATCGATGAGCGGACGCATATCACATTCATGCCTCAGGTAAATCGTGCCGCTCTTTGCGTGTAGGTATTTCTGCTCCGACGATCAATTCCGGCAAGAAGAGAGGTCAAAGACTCCTAGAGCCTGTCCCCGGAGGATCCTCAGACCCAGTATATGGCTACACCGCATCTAATATCATTATCGGTCAAATTCAATCCTTCCATTATCCCTCAGCCATTATCGGGGTCGAGAGATATTTATTGCCGGAGTCGACGTGTTGGGATACTTATCCCAATCGAGTTGATTTGATTACAGTTCTACGACGGCATGGGGAGCTTCGTCATCACATTCTTCATGGCTCTTTTGGCGAGCGTGTTCTGCGAACGAACGATAGTTTTCATCAAAGAGATCGCCATGGGGGAAAACGGACGGAATAAAGAAGACAAAGCCGCGCCAGCTTTGAATAGCTTCGAGGTACGGGTCTTCGTGGATCCAGATGCATATTAGAAGAATTTCTGGTCCTTACATCGATTAAATCAGTATCTCCGTGGGTCGCTGACCGTGACCCCATCGTATTCTGTTTCATTCAACGTATCCGACACCGTATCGATAAGCATTTGACAAATCGACCAGAAACTGTCTCGGATCGCTGATGGGTTCGGTCATTTCTTCATCTACTGCCACGTGATAAGCGACCATCCATCGAGGCTCAAGTCTGCCGATAGGTCACTTAGCACTCACTGGCGCTTTTTGGCCAGTCGATGCTCGGTCCCACCGACAATAGTACGAGGGGTCGATGGCCCCGCAAGGAACGGAGCATCCTCATAATGGTCACTATCCTTTTCAGAAGAAAACAATGCCTTCGACGTCGGAGGTCGAATTGAAAACTTCACGGAGGATCAGTGACGAGTTGCAAGTGACAGCGTATCCGAACGCGCAAGTCGCCGTTCATCTCTGAAGTAGCATCGCAAGCGAGTCAGCACTCGAGCGGGACCAAGTGCTTGATGATCTGGCAGCGAAACACATGCAGTATAGCCGAATCTAGCTCAATTGTTTTCATCGTGTAATCGATTCAATAGAATAAAGATTTTCGAGTTTTTCTCCAACGAATGTCGATAGCATCTTTGTTCCCGGCAGCGGAATGTCGAGCTTCCCTCCGACGACGCTTGGCCGTGCCGTTGCCCCACTGAACGAACACGACCGTTCGCAGCGGGAGGAAATCAGCCTGAAATTCGTTTCCCGCTAACGAGTCGATACGGCTAAGATTTATTCGTGCATAAACGCTTCGAATACGCACGGTCAGACGCGTCGGTGGTGTGAAGCAACGCTCCGAAAACAAATGATGCCGATCAGTATTCGTATTCTTCGTGATCGCCTTAATATTCCGTTTGGAAAGCTAGGCTGGACGGCGGATTTCGGTTAGATCGAAAATGATGAGAAAATCCTCAGGCCGCGATGAGCTTTTCGGGATGCAATGATATAAATGCGTCCGGACAGAGCCGTGAAGAATCACGTCAGCCATGTTCACAGAGAACCGGAATCTCGGAATCAGAATCCCTTCGAGCATTAATCTATATGAATATGAGGAAGATAGAAAAGAGCCCATGCCTGATCTCCCAAGCAACCCATCGTGTTCCCTTCTCGAAACCGCGACGATTCGAATTCAACGTCCCGCTCCATCGTTGAGTATCACCTGAGATTCAGCCCGAGCATGCCTCCCTTCCTTCTGATCGGGAGCTTTCGGCTGAGGAGAATCATGGTCAACCACTCCGCAAAAATCCATTCCGAACCATTTCACTCTTGGTCTTTCCCCAACATGTGATTCCGGTTATTTCCCCATAGACTTTTTCGGGCTGGAGGCTGGAGCACACGGCCACGGTCTGAAATCCAGGGTATTGTACATCTCACTGCTTCCAAGGACTGATCCATAGAGCAAATAATGTACCCCGGAGAATTCGGGCCGAGTAAGTAACTGCATACTAAACAGCTGCGCATTTTTGGACGAGGCGTTTAAAACGCTCTAGCCGCTTGACCGCCTGTCGGTACCGGGTACCCGGCTGAGTCTTCTAAACTATCGGTTTCTGACTTGACCATGGTATCAGTGATAGGGGGGAAAGCTTTGGAGTGGGGACCCGCTCCTGTGCTCGCACTGATACCGGGAACGAAAAATTTTGGGTAGCCATCGGCCTCCTATTCGAATAGGTGAAAACGCAAGTACGTCGTGTGTGTCGTGCGCAGACCCTCTCACTTCGTCCCATCCTAGAGCGTATGATCCATGGAAAGAGAAGGGAACCTGGTATAGGGGGGAAGCCGGAGACTGTGGCAAGCTGAAGCCGGAGACTGTGGCAAGCTGAAGCCGAATCGAAATCATCGCTGCTCAATGTAGACTGCTCCAAGCAAGGATCACGCGAGTTATTTTGGCGAAATCTTCGGGGGACAGAGAATCTTCCGTTCCCAGCGGGGAGAAGAGAGCGGGTTTTTATTTGAAGAAGTTCCCTCATAGGACTTCCATCTGAGATGATAAGCTGATAAAAGTCGTCTCGAGTGCTCTAGATAAAAGGGGAATTTTCGCCCGACGACTCCGACGGGAGAGGGACGGAGTTTTCATGATCCTCAAGAAGGCGCTCCAGCCCAGCGGTGGAAGCTTCCACTCTGAGCTGGTGAGGCCAACGTTCATCCATCAGAGGAATAACGAAGACTCGAAATTCCTCAAAAAGTCCGAGATGCGTTAGACTGTGATGATAAATCAGATGATCAGCAGGAGGAGATTACTTCTATCCAGACATGTTAGGATCCTCCCTAGATTTGGGATAACATTGCTGGGTATTCGTCGTGGAGATTTTCATGGATTACGGCTACGCTTCGGAAGTACGCTTCCCCGAACCTGTGATCCAAGATGTGGTGTCTTATCAGGAAGTCCAAGAGAACAGGCAGCGACAAGATGCTGAACTTTTCTTCATCGATAACAATGTCCAGCAGGTTTCCGAAAGGCACCTTCACGAATGCGTCGACTTCGCCATCCTTACATTTCGGCTGGAATCCTTTCGGGAGCAGCGCATCGTAACAAAATAGAATCTCCGGAGATAGCCCTTTGTGATCCTCGTAGAGAAAGGACACATGACCGACAGGTCGCGCTGATTTGTCAACGAGATCTCTTGGTATGGACGCTTCGTCCGAAGCTTCTCCTATGAGACATTCTTCCACCGAGCTCCCAGATGGCAGTGCTCCACCAACTAATGTATCCAGCATCCCAGGGTATTCCGCTTTCGTGCGCGCACGTCTCTGCAGCCAACAGAACTGATTTCCAGCGGAGTCGACACTGTACCCGTTAATGTGCACTCCATACCGTTTCAAGCCGAAGATGTAGGTCATTGATCTCTCTATTCGGAAGAGCGACTCGCCCCCGAATTTAAACTTCACATCTAAATCTTCATTACGCCAAGCGCGGAGCGCGGGAAACGCCTTAGCTTCATGTAGCTCCCTCAAGAGCTTCCTGAGATTCTCAGTGATTTCGTCCGGTTTCTTCCAAGTTCTCAGTTTCACCTCTCTGTCCTCGAGTACGAACTCGTCGGTGTATTCCTTCAGAACCTCGAGATTCTCTGGCCGGATGATGCCGACCGCGCGGCCTGACACTTGGAAAGTATAAGAATTGAGAGCGAGAGTCTTCCTGACATTGAAAATTCGGAGCACCTTCAGGAGCTGTTCAGCCTGAAGTCGGATCCGGTCCATGAGCCGACGGCAACGTTTCTCCGGGGGTAGCGAGCGGGAAAAGCGGTGCTCACTTGCTACACTGCCGTCGTTCGAAGACGTTAGTTTTCCTCCACCGAATGATCAGTGGCGGCTAGATCGCGTAGGCGACGCGCGAACGCGCCGGATATCTGTACCGCATCCGGAGGAAGGAAATTCTATTTCATAAGGAAATTTTGAAGGACCCGAATTCTCTCTGACGTCGCCTTTTCGCGGTACATCTCGAGCGTGGAGGTTGTGGATTCAAGCAGTCGTTCGGTTTTTTCGAGTTCATGAAAGGAATCGCACAGATGATGCGCGACAAAATACAAACTGAGTCAAATTGGCAACACCTCAACAACTCTTTCCAGCACTCTTCGATTCGGAGGGGCAACTCTTCTGGCAGTGTTGCCAACGAGGGGCTCGATCAGCACTACTGCGGAGGAGCGATCGAATGGTGCAGCAGCATACAATGGAAACAACTGCAGAACTCTACGATCGGATTGTATATCTCGTCTGTGAGAGTTGTGCAACACGAACCTTCCCAGAACCTGCTCTGCTCATTCTGCCTATGATAACATATTCCGACATCCGTTGACACAGTCAGAGAAAAATATTTCGAATCGGCGAGTCCTTATCGGCTCCCTACACTTTCTCGTGTAATGCAGATCGCGCTAGCTTATTAATTTCGGTGCTTGGTCCGGTGCCTATCTCACGTCGAGGCTTTTAGACTTGCTGACGTAAGCATGGACTCGAATGAGTTTCTGATGTTGTGTCAGAAGGTGGAATGCGTTTGATGCTCTCGCCTTCAGCGGCGGAGCCCGAAGCTCTGATCGCTGTTCCAGACACGATCTCGTCCATCGAATATAGGTAGCTTGAGTTCACAACTTCCGTCGAGCCTCGATATCCCCGACCTGTCTATCTGACTGAGCATCGTTGGAGCAAGCGTTTGCCAGAACTCAATACGCCTTCCGACGAGGACATATGCTGCCCGAATACGGTGGGGAAGAAGATGAGTGGAATCACCCGTACGACCAGATTTATTCCGGATAGTCTTCTTGTAGGTTTTGATGAACAGTCGAAGCGATATTCATGAGTGCAGAACCGTAGCTTGAGTCTATAACATGGTGTCGAATCAAAAAGTCGAGTACCGTTGGGGCCGATGTAACTTTGAAACGCTCGGGATCCCTGATTAGATCTAGAAGATCATCTACTGGAAACTTGACGAAATTCTCAACTTCCCCGTCGTTGGCTCGCGGCTCGAAATCGACGGGAAGACTCGCATCGTAGCAGAAGAATGTCAATGGATGCAAGCCGAGCTCGTCTTCGTATAAGAACGACACGCTGCCAACTGATTTTAGGTGCTCCTTACACAAGTCGTCGGTCATTGTTGCTTCCTCGAAACATTCCCTGTGTGCAGCTTCCAGCGGAGTCGATCCCGCCTGTAAGCCCCCGCTCACTATGATGTCTAGGACACCCGGAAATTGCTGCTTGGTCCTGGAGCGTCGTTGGAGCCACACGAAGTCAATTTTTCCGTCTTTCTCGACGAACCCGTTTATGTGGACTCCATAACGTTTTATTCCGAAGAGTGGCGTTGCCGATCGCTCTATAGCGAAGAGCGGTTCTCCCCCAAACACTCGCGACACCTCCAGCATTTCCTCTCGCCAGCCCCTCAGGCAGGGGAATAAATTCCTCTCCCGGAAGCGATGAAGCCTCCGAGCGATCTCCCCGGTGATTCCATCGGAGGTCTCGGAGCTGTCGAAGTGGATCTCATTTTTCGACTCTTCGATGCGGAAGAATCCGGATGCGTTCTCCGCGAGAATCGCGCAAGCGTCAAGATGCACAAAGCCAACCGCTTCCGCGTTTACGAAGAACTTGACACTCCGCGAGGTGTAGTCTGGCTTGAAGATTCTCAGAAAAGAATTGAGGGCACTGACTTCGCTTTCGGAGACGACCCGAGACATTTCGAACATTTTTCGAGCTTACGCTCCTCGTCACCACCTGTTGCATTGGAGATTATACTAGGGGAAAGAAGAATTGAGTTTTTGAGCGAGGCCGGCCCGCGAAAAGCGACGGAAGTGAGCTTTTCGCTGAGCTCGCGGCCTGTACGCCCCAGGTGCTTGATCAGGCCGCCTCGCGATGATGATAGATTGAGCTTCACGGATCTCAGCGCGTTTCCCCGCTCGGATTCGTGAGTCTCGTAATTCGCACGCCTCACGAAACCGCGAACGGATCGTTTTCGCGCGGGAGACTGGCGAGAATCCAAGGAGCGATTCCCAGGATTCACGAAGGTCCTCTAGAAAGCTTCATCGGCGAACGTCGGCCTCGAGATTCGAATACCGAATTCTAACTCTGTCGGACCGCCTCCGCGAAAGCGAGCTCCCCGGCTGCGCGCAAATTCAGGAGAGAAGCTTGTTCGGTGCCGCAGCGAGTTTCTTTCGGCGACGTCTGTCATAGAAGCTTCGCTCGGGGCATTCCGGAAGAAGCTAGCCTCTGAAAGTGTCTCGCTTCGCGGGAAGGAGTCATTCGAAAACACATCGAGTGTACCGACGAGTTCACCATCGGACGATGCGATGAAGATGAGATTGATCCTCGCCAGGATCGAGAGCGGACTCGGCGATATGCGCCGATCAGCTGTTTCTATCATGGCTGCCCCCATCCGTCAGACGAGCGCTAAAATTCGTGCGCCAAGTCTGCGAACTGCTGAGTAGAATATCGGACTCCATTTCTATTCTCCGAAGTTCTCCGCGATTGCTTTGTCCTGCTGTCAGTGTCAGCTCCACGGGTAAGCTCAAGCTTCCAAGATGTCAAGCTCTCGCGCCTCACGATGGTGCTTTGATTCGAAGTCCTCTATCCGAAGAGCCTTTCCACGCACCGGCAGAGTCCAACGGCGCACTTCAGAATAGGGATCAGCGTCTCCGACCGTGTATCGATTTAAATCATTTTGCAGGTGTGAGTTCCCGAGATGTTTGTGAAGCGGCCGAAGGCGTCGGAAGACGTGCTCGATATCGAGGAGGAACAGGAAAGATTTCTCCGAACGAATTCAAAAGCATCAACTTCTGTGAAGCGAGCGAACACATCCGACAAGCGGAGCTGTGAAGATGAGATTCCGAGACGTTCCGCGAAGAAGCAGTCCCGTTTCAAAGCTGAACGCGAAGAAGCGCGAGAGCAAGGAAGGATACCGGCACAGAACAGCTCGGACGACGTTGTCATGCAAGACCTTGTTGTGAGTATGTAGTATATAGTGAATTCTGGAATTGGCCAGGGTCCGGGCATTGGGCTCGAAAATAAAGAGCTACAAGGACGAGGTCTCCAATCCTGCTGAATCCTTACAGGAAAGACCCGGGACCGCGATCTACGTACCGGAGGCCCCGATGCTAGACCATGTCCCCGAATCTTTCCCTGCGGTCACGCGGAGGGACATGTCGATCCCCACGCAGCAAGGGAAGAGTATTTTCCTGAGCTGCATGAGTGCTCAACAGAATCTCCAACAAGAAACGAAAACAGCATCAGTCGAAGAATTGATGGATAGTGGGTTGAACTCCGCCATGTAAAGTGTCTATCTACCTAGAAGGGATTCCAATCCCTGACCGTCGGGTTCGCCGTATCTTTTTCAAACGATTCCCGATTTTCTTCCAGCGGAATATGAATCTATCCACCAAGAAAATCTCAACAAACTGCAATCGATGTCTCTAGACGAGATAAAACAGGCCCAGTCCGAGCTGCTGGGGAAATTGGATCCGTCGCTCGTCGCTTTCATCAAGAGCCAAAGGACCAAACCGAAATCCGCGGTGCAAGGGGTTCTGCGGGGAGGTTCACAAGTGAGTGTGCGACTCCGATGCTTTTTCCTTCCTCCAGGATCCTGGCCTTAGCCCTAATTCTTCCGATGGTGACCAATCAACATTACCGAGAGGAATTTCTCCATGCAGGTTGATGACGCCGCCCTGCAAGGACTGCTGACTTCCCAGCCCCGCGCACCGCCGGGTCCGAGCACAGCTGAGTTCGTCGAGCAGGAACTTCCCCTCAATCCATCTGAAATGTCGAAATTCCCAAATATGCGCTCGATCGAGAAAGACAAACTAGCCTGGATGACTTTGCTACCGAAGCCAAAGAAGTCTGATGATGGCAGGAAATTCACCTGTAGATTCGACTTGGAAGGTCAGTGGCCGGGAGGGGTCTCGCTGATCCAGCTCATGTCGTCCTCGAGCTTCTCCATCGGGCTTTTATACATGTCTCGAGTTCCACTCCGCGAGGAGCACGATTGCAAGAGAAGTGCCAGACTCGCTGACCTTCCGATGACCGGTCTGTTGTTCAGCTCGAGTCGCCGAGCTCATTAGCGCTCTGACGAAAGTCTCGGACACAAACTGCGGTTCACCGAATTGTCTCACGCAAAATAATTATTCCTCGACCAGGCCGTATTTTGGCGCCCGACGCGGATCTTCCCACACAGAGAGCCTTGCATCATCATGGCGAGGAACCCGAGCGCGCTGGCTATACACTCGACGAGCTCGCGAAATTCCTCACCTCAACCGTTCAGTCTCAGCGGATTTTGGCTCTCCAGGTCTTTTCCAACATCCTGGACAACGTAAGATTCCCGATCCGGGAAGCTTGATTTTGATTTTCACTGACACCGGAAGTTTCGGCTCGAGAGAGGATTATGACGGCTTCGGCAGATTGAGAAATCACTGTCCATATTTCAGCATCATGGCGGGAAATACGACATTTGTTTTCCCGATGGGCCGGGTCTTATTGAGACTCTCGTCGAAAATGGCTTCGTAGTCCTTTTGAGAGTCGCATTGGATGATCAGAGCGCGTCGCAACTCTCGGAGGCGCTCAGAACTCTCCACAGCCTCATCGTGAACCCGCATGATGAGGTGAATAGGGTGAAATGCCATAAACGGCTTAACGATTGGATTTCCTAGAACATAAAAATGTTTGTGCGACAAGACACGAAAGCTCGATGAAATTCAATGCAGATCTGCCTCGATCTCGTTTGTGACTGGACCGATGAGGAGCCCTATATGCGACCCGCGGTCGAGATTCTCCGAAAGAGCGAAGTGGAAAAACACGATCAGCTATCCGACACGGAGCTTGTGGCGCTCGACATTGTGGAGGGACTTTTGAGAATGGATTTGTTGCCTCGCATCAGGTGCGTTCTGGAGCTTTTGAAAACTTCCCTCGCTCTCTGTTGTCGCCCGGTGACATCTCATATTCCTGGGAAGTTCCTTGCTCCCTTCCTGAAAAGTCCTCCAAAAATTTCAGATACTTGCTCGAAGTGTGTCAGCCGGACGCCGGTGGTGTGGCCGCCGCTCTTGGGGTCTTGACCCGAATAGCCAGGCAGTCGCCAGAATCTGCGAAGAAGATCGCCGAGTGTCCTCGGCTGTGTACCTTCATCATCAATGAGTACTTGCCGCTCTACGGGTGGAACCTCCCACAGATCGTGCAAGGTGCGCAGAATATAATATCCGTGAATAGGTGGCGAATTTCCTAATTTCACGTATTCCGCGAGATCCCACCGAATATCCTGCTGCCTCAATGGTAAACGAATCTGATATTCCGACGGAATTCAGGTAAACTCGCCTCGAGCCGGGGCGTGCCCTTGGCGCTGGCGATGAAATTCATTCGGGTCTTGTGCCAGTCTTCGAGATCTGTATCGGTGAAGCTCACGGTGGAACAGAAATTGGAGAAGCTGATTGCAGTTTTTCTAAACCTGGACCCCGAGTGAGTAGACCATGACTGGACGAACGGAGCCGCATTGACCGGATGAGGAAAGAAGAGTGGTCCGTACGACTTGATACATCCTCGTTTCCAGAGAGAACAAGCTACCGAAGAAAGAAGTCCTTCAACTCCAACTCGAAACATTACGCCTTCTACGAGTCCTCCTGCGCCACGGTTTAGGAGTTGATCTGTTCGATGATATGTCCCCGGTCGTCATTCGACAAATGCAACACGCGAAACAGGTGGGCGTTCTTCCCGGATGCGAAATCAACCCCAGTCAACTGGTCCCCAGTCAACTGAAGTAATGATAGGAATCTCTCTCCGTGATTCAGATTTCCTGTCGGAGTCTCCACGCGGATCAGCAGATATTCAACCTGGAATACGCGTCGTGCTTGATACAGTGCGTGCACGCCCGCATGAGGAAACTAGTCCTTGACGACTCGAATGACTGGACGGCATTGGCGCCGCCCATGATCGACTCGGCGATATCGGCATGTCAGCGATGGCTCCGTAATCTTTCGGAGGATAATCTGAGGCTGACCGCTTTCGGAGCTCTTAGCGTGGTTCTTCGCTTCCTGGCGGACCTTCGGTGTCACAAGAAAGATGTAGACGTTCTCCCTGTGATATCGGCTCTCTTAAGCGTACCCCAGCTCAGATGGACTTCATTGTGGGGCGATCTGAAACAACAGTCGATGCTCCTGCTCCCCTCGGAAAAGTCTGGTGTGAAGAGGGATATCCGTGCACTCACCAGTTTGGCTACGATTCAGTTCGGCGAAGGTTTGTTCGAGCTGACCGGAAATTCAGATCGAGGCCGAGCTCGATTGGAAGCTCGGGGAAAAAATTATTCAGCCGATCACTCAATTAATATAAATCACAATATATTATTCCCTTCCCAGAGTCTGTGATCCCTCTGGCCAAGGAGACCAATCCGACATTCTTCTTGGACTCGGTCCTCTATTTCCTATGGACTTGTGTCTCGGAAAACGTTCCCGATTCAGCGAAGCTGGCCGTTAAAGTCCTCCGTGATGAGGGGCTAAAGGCTTACTTGGGAAAGATAGCGAACAGTGACCTCTCGGCGGGCTGGTTTTCGCGAACCGAGACGTCATCATTGTACAAATTGTTGCGTCTCCGTGGGGCGGTAGACTCTCGAGCACAATCCCTGCCTCCCGACTCACCTTTATCGGCGGATATGCCATTTCTCAGACAGTGTGCCCTGAAAGTTTTGCCTTTGTTCTCGCCAGATAGAGCTATCGCGATAAGGAACATACTGCAGGATGTGGTTTTCAGCGAGGACGGGTTCGTTCTATATTTTCTATATGTTCTATATTTTCGGGATATGCCTGTGAGAAAGTCCGATACATTCTCCCCGTGAGACTCCCGGGAACCTAACCGACGACATTCCAGCCTCGACCCGCGATGTGATTCAACGTCGTCGAACCTCGACAGTGTCGGAAATCAATCTCTGTCTGACGATATTCGCAGCTTGTTGACATCGATTGCGACGGAAGAATTGTCCTCGGTGGTGACCTCGGTGATGGATATGCTCGACTTCCTCCTCGGCAGTATTCCTTCGAAATATTTGTAAGCCCCTGATATTATGGGAATCGCGAGCGAAGAATCTCGCGAGAATCTCTCGGACCGACCCAGAACCGAAAATCCGAGAGTCTCGAAAAAAAGACGATCTACTTGAATCTGAAAGCTTCTGTGTTCCTCTTCAGGGGGCCAAGTTTAGCGAAGAGTTCCCAATGCGAGTTCCTCTTCGACGGCGGTTTGCTGCCTCAAGACTGGATGTACCTCCCGCTACGCATGCTATATCTGGAATCTTTGGAGGGAGCAAAGCAGCCGAAAAGCCAAACGAATCCTCAAGCCGACCCCGAGACGATGGAGCAAGCTCTCAATGTCGCAACGATTACTCAATGCCTCCGAAACGTCGTCCTGCTCGATCATACTTCCTCTATTATGAAGCAACTCCCTCCTTTGGTGAACTTCATTCGCTTGGCTTCTGTCTTCGTCATCGGTCAGTGACTTTTCTTGGTGCGATTAAGTCTTACTATCCGTTGGCTGGGTGTCGTGCCAATTCCGCTCGACGTTCTGCTCACGGTACAATTGTTGAGCTTGCAGATTGCGACACGTTCCTCGATGCTGAAGTCAAGACTCTCCTGCGGCACCTCTATTTGTCATTGATCGTGCCTTACGCTCAACGTATCCCGTTCGAGGAGCTCTCCTTCAAATGGAATTCTCTGCCAGCGTTCTCCGATTTGTGAGTTGATCTCCCCCCTTGACGATTCGGAAATCGAACTTCTTATGCTGCCACCTCGGAGAAGTGTCAGCCGATAGCTCTACGTGATGCTTCCGCCCTCGGCGGAATGCCTGCTGAGCCCCGGAACCAAACTGAAAGAAAAAAACCTAATCGATGTATGCCCCTCTTACAGCTATGCTCTATTCGTCGAGCAGTTCGCTGCATGCTCGTACGGGGATCCTAATTTCTCGCATTATCTCTTGTGCCCTCTTCAAATGTGTTACCACAAGGATATCCGCAAGATGTTGTACATTGAAAATGCAACAGTGCTCCGAGCAATCCAGATCGACGAAACGGACGGTCTAGGGATTCCAATGAGGAATTTCGTGGAGCCTCGTGAAACAGATCACGATCTCGTGGTTGCCTTCAAATCTGCTCTTTCTTCAGGTCTGTTAAATGCCTTCGGGTCTGGTACTCTCAGCGGTCGCGCAGCTCTTCTTTGATCTCTGCTGGATCGATCGGATTCCTTATGAGCATCAAATATGGGGGATTCTACAAATATCGGAGTCGAGGAGATCAGACGGTAACTCCAGTCCTTGGGAAGTCCCCAGAGGAGCCTTGGGAGCCCAAAACGTCGGCGCCGAGCTCCACATCTGGGAAAATCTCTCATTCCTTTAGGAATGATCATGAATGCGGCGGCTGAGATGTTCCCGAATAACTATAGTGTAGAGTCCCCCGATAAAACTGTCAGTCGGACCTCATGCCGTCGAGGTACTCGGGCTCCACGTAAATACTCCGAAATGAGTTCCATAGTGGTCGCGACCAGAATATGGAATCAGCGTGGGGAAAATCTCACTCTTACCGAAGACAATGCCAATCGTCGTGTGAGACATCGGTGATTCCCCTTGGAGAGTCATTGTTATTCGAAGAGCTGATCGAACTTAATCTCCATCTTCCATTTACAGGGCTCGTTACGGAAAACCGGAATCCCTTCATGTACAAACTCCTGAGCAAACACCTAGCCTGATTCTGTTTCACTGTGCATACTACAAACTGAAAGCCAGCTCAGAATAAATGACGTATGACTCTAGACAGCGCGACTCAACGGCGGGTCTCGCCCGTTCGTAGCTACGATGACTGAAATAATTCGCAGGCGACGGAATATTTTCATTCGCTTTATTGTCTCACTCCAAATTTCATGATCGTTTCAAAGCATCCGCCTCAAGAGCGGATGGTGAATGGAATATCGATATCAGCCTCCGACGATTAGTCACATCTCAGAACTACATCTTCAGATCCGGAGAGTGATCACCTCCCCCCAAGGTCGATAAAGTCGCTTGGAACAAGACTCTGCGATTCTGAAACTCCATTCTGGGTCGACATTAATTGCAATCATAACTATGTGGACAGCGCAGGGTTCCCCATAAGACATTGAGATTTGAAAGCCCCGGAAGCCGAAGATACACAAAGGAGCTCCTGGAAGTTCTGTTTCGAGAATCCGTCCCGCATGAGCTTGGTACATCGTATAGAATCAAGGCGGTTGGCTTGCCCGATGCGGTAAACCACGTCACATCCTATCCGAGCAATTTGCTCAAATAAGAGTCCCGCGAGTCCCTATGACACCGGATTTGTCCTGAATCGTCAGCCACAAATGCCAACGTTTCCCCCAGCCGCCGAGCGGATTCTTTCTCTCTCCCGGATAACTATGAACCTTTCCGAGGTATATATAATGATTAAAGTCATTACTATCGATGTATCGATTGAGTTCCGATGAAAGTCTCCGCATTTTGTCAATGAGTTCATGAGTCACAGCTCCTAGCTCTTGGTATTCCGCTTCAAATCTTGGCGCAACACAGCGAAGTACCCTCTAAACGGAGGTTTTTTGTGGAATGTCAGTCTCACCACTGCCGCGGCTTCTCCTCGTCGGTTTGAATATCCTCCACACTTCGATTCCCGAAATACACTTTTATATTATTTGAGATTATCAGTAGACATTAACCAGAATACGTGGAATGACGAATAGAAATGGTATCAGTAGATAAGCGATAGCTCTGTGGGCTATTTGTGTAGAAGGAGGGCCAGGAGTTCCATTCAGAACAAGGAAACTCCACTGGAAACCTACTGACGACTCTTTCGGACTGATTGGGCTCGTCATTCGGGCATTGGTTAGAAGCTTCAGAGATTTGTTTGTGGTTCGAGGAGAATCATATCGTTCAGGAGAGAATTCTCGTGATTTTCTTTTGTTTTTCCCTATTGATTTGTTGAACATTTTGTTTTTTGTACTTTGATGAAACGACCGTTGACGCCCAGAGGCGTTGCCGGACATCGTTTCGCCCTCCTGGTACCAAAAATACATTGAAACAGTATTGCCGACCCTCACCCTCACACGAGACTCAGAAAAAGAAGGTCCCAAGGTCGATGGACTGTATCGATCCCTTTCCTGTCGGGTCCGAAAATTCAATCATCGTCATATTCATCCTTAACCTAAGTCGATTAGCCTTTAGATTACCACCGCAGTCAAGCGAGCTGGTAGGACTCCCGTTCTTCTCGATCCAATATCCATCGTTGCAGCAGCTCCTCATCGCGGACCCCGCTCGAAGTCGTCTCAATTGTGCACATCGCTTAACATCGTGTTTGGCGCAGTCAACAACATGCACATACAAATATCAATGTTCCCTCCAGAAAGTCGGAGACGTTTCAAAAAAAGTCCGCGAATCCGAGGGAAATCTCGCGGCCTCAAGCGTCCGAATCGCGGCTCCTCCGCGCGATCCACGGTCACATTGAACCGCTGCGAAGCGTCGCAGGGAATGAAATCCGATTTGGCCATTTTTTTGTGACAAGCGAGAGAGCGGATTCAGAGCGGAAAAACAGTTTCTTCCAAAAATCCCGAAGAAGAACTGAGTCCGGCTTTTCGAACCACCGCTTCGACTCGTTTCCCTATTTTCAATGATGCACCTTGGTTTCGTTTTGTTTCATCTCCTACGTTGGCCCATGCCAGCAATTCGAGATTGATGGGGGAGAACGTTCGTCAATAAATCGATGGGTCTCTTTATCGACCGATCGGTCCACCAATCAATCATGCAAGCGGTCTCACATCAAATCACCCGATCGGCGGATCGAGTTCCTTACAATTATCCTAGCTAAGCAGCGAACAGGGGGTTACAACTCGTCGTCGATTGAAACCGACTGGAAAATACTTGCGTGTCTTCGCATGCTTCTCAGTCACGTATTCCGTTTATCCATGTTCGCTTACACTTTCTCATCTCTAGATCGAAATCTCCAACCGAAATGCGAGTCTTAATTAGTTTCCCGGACCTATCGACTCGACCACCCGACCCGCGTTTCGACGCCGAGGCAGGCTGGAATCCTCCCGAGCCGCCTCAGCGTCGCGATTCACGCTCGCTGGTCCGTGCGCCCAACGCGTACCCACACGGTGGTTGAGCGCGGACGCGTGCATCGCGTGAGCGCGCGGAAGTGGAGACAGGCACGCGGGACGGTCGTCCTGAAGCGCACGGTCTAATATCTATAGTAGTTCGGCTTAAAGGGTCCAGCTTTGTTGAGCCCCATGTACTTGGCCTGCTCGTCCGTAAGCTCGGTGAGGTGGGCGTCGAACGTTGGGAGATGCAGAGAAGCGACGTATTCGTCCATCTTTTTCGGTAGCAAGTAAACGTCGGACTTGTAGCGTCCGGGCGATGCATTGAACAGCTCGATAAGGGCTAGCGCCTGGGTAGCCGCGGTGATGGACACCACGAACGACGGTATCGACGAACAGGACAGGTTGACCAGGCGGCCCTCGGCGAGCAGAACGATACGTTTTCCATCGGGCCAGATGACGTGATCCACTTGCGACCTAAAAATACCGTCATTCGATTACAGAAATCCGCCGTGGCCTGAGCGCACATGAATAAGTTGGGCAATGCGGTCGATCCCACGAGCGCGATCGTGCGGGGTCTGGGACCTCGCCAGACAGCGTGCGCGAGAGTCCCCTGAACCGGAGAGAGTCTGTGTATCGAAATCTGAGGGAACGACTTCATTGAATACATGCTAGAACTCGGACTCAGGTACCCACCGAACTTTCTCCCAGTTGAGCTCGGGACTTCGAAGACTTTGAACGTCTATTTCCGTGTTCGAATGACCCATGTTACACACGATACATCCATTCTTCAATTTGTCCATATGCTCGCGAGTGACCACATTCTTATTTCCGGTTGCTGTAACGAGGATGTCGACGTTGCGGATCACCTCGTTCATCTTCACAACACGGAAGCCATCCATGCTGAAACGAAGATTGCGGCTCGTAAGTCTCCGGAAGAACAAGTCCGGAGCGAACGTGAGGCTTTGGAACGCAATATCCATTTGAGCTGTGATCGATAGTCATGAATACGGAGCGGGCGAATGTTATTTCAAAATCGCAGCTGCCTCGAGGTCGGCGATCCTAAATGACTTACCAGGCTTGCAGTGCGCAAATGGGGTCGATTTCAGTAACGTAGACGACGGAGCCCATTCCCTTGAGGGCGGAACAGCAACCTTTGCCGACTTCACCGTAGCCGCACACAAGAGCTTGTTTACCGCCGAACATAACGTCGGTCGAGCGTTTCAAACTAGACGGAGGAATAAGAGCGTACATGAATTCCGCACACGTGCCGGGAATACCGTAAATCTCAGAACTTAGGATCTGAGCTCCTCGAGGTTCTCCGAGCTTGGTTATCGACTTAAATCCAGACCTTCCCCGGGAATATATTATGGTAATCACTCGGGTCCTCTGTGCTAGAAAAGATTCCTTATACTCACGCGTCGAGAATGGACTCTCTACACGAATACAGATTGTCGAACTTGGTCTTCGTAACCGAATCATTCACGTTCATGGCTGGCACGCTCAACTTTCCAGCCTTCGCCAGTTGATAGAGGCGGTGAACGCCGGTCACGCTCTCTTCTACGATTCCTTTGATCAGGTTGAAGGTAGCTGGATACTTCTTCAACATCAGATGGGTCGCGTCTCCTCCATCGTCGAGTATCTGCATCGTTACCGGAAAGAGAGGAAATCAGGGTGAACTCTATTAAGACGACGACAAATTCAATTTTCTCCGCTCCGATGTCCCACCCAAGACAGAGTTCACAATCTCATCCGGTAGTCCCTGTATCCGTTCCCGCGCCGTCACTGAATTCGTTATGTCCTTGGAGTCGGGGACCCAGATGGAGCTCTGGTCGTTCTCGAGTTTCGGTTCTTATACGGATTGCAAAGCATTGAGGCGTTCTCGCCTTCCATCGATACCGGGAGCCCACGACTCAATGGCGGCAAGGGCAACAGCAGACGAGATAAAAGCCGCGATTTATATGGATGCGAGGTAACTCGGAGCCTCTCGCGCCGTTATCCATCGTTACGACGACGGGGGAACTCGGATGTACTTACCGGGAGTCCCTCGGATCAGTCCCTCTCCTTTCGAAGTGAAGGGACCAGCTCCCTCCGCTTCAGTCAAAACTCGAGCTTCGCATTTCCGGAATATCGAGCCGGAGTCGAACAACGCAGGCGAGGGACTAACTCGACTCGTTGCTCGTTCGAGCAGTCGGCTCTTTATGTCTTCACGCGTCGGTCGGTTCGCCGCCTCCTTCGCTCGCTTTTATTGTTTCCAGATATCCACACAGCGAAAAGAAACAGCCGAGAGGCACGCGAAGGACCTCAGGAGAGGAAGGTCCCTAAGTCGAAAACGACCCCCGGGGAAGGATTCCACATGCAAAGCATTTTGCGAGCCTTCCCCTCGTGTTTCGGCCACGTAGTCTCAGCCGTCGGCACCGAAGGAAGGGCGAATAATATATAAAATGCCGAGATTGGATCGCCCTCACAGCGGTCAGCAAACCCCCTCCCCCTATTCAAGCACTCGAAAACTGGTATCGAATAACCACCAAGGAGAGGGGTCGAATAGGGAGCCTTGGCCTCAGCTGGTCTCTTCCCGGAGCTGCACAGCTGTATTTTCCATCAAAGCTCCGATTCGAGGAATTCCGCTCCGTAAGTAGGCCTCGAGACGATCGCTGGCGGAGGGAAGAAGCGGTCGCTCTTTTCACCCGAAGGATCTCGAAGCGAATGGACTTTCATGGTTGAGGGATTCCATATCCGGGCAGAGTTCACCCGCAGCAGCTCCGTGACCTCGTCAGAGAGCTTCTGCGGATTGCGGGGTATAATTGGATCCGTCGATAAAACGCTTACCATGTTGGGCTGCCAACCGTCGGCTTGGACGCAGCGATCGATGCACCACCAGAAATCGTCCTCGGTTTCGCCTTTCCACGCGAACACTGGGATGCCGACCTCCGCCAAGGCGGCCGCCACCTCATTCTGAAAATAGAGGTAATGATGAGCGTTATCGCTGAAGATTCGGCGTCTTCCGAGTCGAAATGACGATTATTGTGCCGTTACGAGGATGTACGATAGTTCCGATTCGAATCGATGGGACCGAACTAGGTCTGTTTCAATCTAATCTCTTAGAGGAATAGTTATCATTTTCGTGATTTACCTGCGTAGAATAAATGTTGCAAGGAGCCCAACGAACGCTTGCTCCCAGGGCTACGAGCGTTTCGATTAACACCTGCAAAGAGAGCAAATTCGATCATGGTGATGACAATCAACCTCCAGCTTTTCGCTCTACGCGTATCTAAGGGTTTCCGCGATGCGAATGATTCAATCCCTGTTTTCCCGTATGGCATGGAGCCTTGACTGTGGTTCGGACCCCGGGCGGCGGAGACTCCGGGAATAGACCCGAGAATAGCTCGGAAATCACTTCAGATATCGAGTGAGCGGTTGGGACGACTTCTCGGATCGTAAAGGTAGAAAAGTCGTAAATTTCTCCGCTCCGGTTCTCACGGAACGATTCCGCCTCTCGACGTAAAATGAGCTCAACCCTCTCAGACACGAAGTCGTGGACTCGACGTGAGGCATAGAAGTGCGGGTCTGCTCGATGACGCTCGCAGGCATGGCTGGTGCCAGGAAGACGAACGACAGAAAATGGAAAACCGAACAAGGACGACAAGACAGCCCACATTGTGCTCACGTACATCTCAGCAGGCGGGCACTTCGCGAACAGCAAGCCTCCGACAGATCTGGACGTATGTTTCGCTGAAGCCATGCAACGACAACGTCGGCGTTGGCCAAGGAAGATCCCCTGGAGAGTCCTCTCAAGAAGCAGCGGACTCGCTGCACAGCACGGTGTGCAATTAGCCTCAAGATCCAACAGGCGAGCGACCTCGCATGAATTGCATGCGGAGCGAACGTTCATCGGTCCCCAATGAAAGGAGTACACGCGTTCTTTCAGTGGACGTAAATCGATTGTGCCTTGTCCGATTGGGACGAAGGTCTCTCTCAGACGTTGTGCGACAAAGTCTCCCGTACCGCTGCGGAGATGGCGTCTGGGAACGATTGTCCTCCTTTCCAATTCAGAACGGCTCATTCATTCCCGTATTTCCCCCCCCCCGCGCTGGGAACAGGTATTGATTTGCTGGCGGGAATTCATTCTATATTCGGGAGAGGTGCTCATCTACATGTCTGACACGGCGAGATAGTCTTCGATGGGATCGAGGGCGAAAAAAGCGATGGTAAGCTTGACGAGAGGTCGGGAGAGAAGGCTTGTGAAACGCTGACACCTAGGCCGAGCTCTGGAGATCAAATTGAGCCTCGACGTTCAGATCACCCCCGCTCCCCGTTTCCCGTGGAATTCCGGGGCTGACGCGTGAGCAGCCCGATAGGCAAGTTGACACGCAAGACGTTCGGGGGAACGCCCGTTTCGGAAGCCTCAATTTCAGCGGAAAGAAGGCCCGGAGACATCCGAGTCGATTGACCTATCAGACCGAACGCATCGCTGTGGAGAGAGAAAGCGAGTTCTCCTGGTCGATAAGTGTCGAGGAGAATGCGGACGCTCCAGGGGAAAATATTTCGGAATCGAGGCGATTGATCACAAAGATCGGAGGGGGGAATCCTAGCGCTCCGGAGTAATCGTCTCGCTACACTCGAGGGAAGTATTACTTGTAGTGCGAGGCGCTCCATTACCCTGATAGAGGCGAATGAAACGAACAGGAACGGAGCTGAGGGTCGAGCTTCTCGGAAAGAAAAAATCAACCGATACAGAGCATCGAAGGGACTCAGGGGCCTTCGACGCGACGGTAAGAGCATCGTGTTGAGCTCTCGCGGTCTCGGCTCCGACCTACAACATATAATAGTTACTAACCGCAGTCTGGGCGTTGATGTGAGTACAACCGACGATTTTCGCTCTCTCTAGGGGTTTATCCGCTTCGGCACGCTTACGCAGTGCGATGATTCCGGGCATCTCTGTGGATGAAAACAAAAACTTACGACTCCGATAGATAATTAGCTCATGCGAAAGTTGGGCTAGAAGTCTCCCGAATGTCGACAATGGAATGAGTCGAGGAGAGAACGGAACCTAGTTTCTTCTTCTTCTCCTTCTTCTCCTCCGCTGCCATGTGTACCCACTATGATGTTCTCCGAAACAGAGCGAAAATCGAACAGACGAGGCATCGAGAGCCGAGCAAACACGAACTCGATTGAGGAGTCGAGAGCAAGAGTTTGCTCCTCATTCCTAGAGCGAGCAGATAGTGCTAATATAGGGTTCTGAACTGCTAGTCCTTCTATCGCGACGCGAAAACCGCCGCAATTTCCTCCATGGATCCTAACGACCTTCGCGTCTCGGATTTCTAATATCTCATTTTCGGGAACCAGAGCGCCACACAAGCCTCGAGGGAAGAGGGGACGACGCTCATTCCTCTCACGAACCCTCACCCGACGGCAGACCTGAATATCAATATTCAAAGTCATCTGAACGATATTCGCCGCTTCAGCGTTTTCCCTAGCTCTTTAGGCAATTGTAGAATATGCCCGGGAATCGGAATCGGCATATTCCATTTTAAATTCCAAGAAGATTTCACGACGGAAATCTGCAATCTGCATCGAGTCCAATGTGGACCGTGTCGTGGCAGTGGCGACTGGAGCCCGGAAATTCCTTCCCTCAATCATATCATCGGGTCACAAACCCGAGGAAGCCGATAAGAATGTTCACAAAGGAAAGGCGAGTGCGAAAACAGGTTTGTCTCGACGTGAGAAATCGCCATTTGTTCTAGGCAGCGTCGCGAAGCTCCTTCGAAAGACCGGAGTCAATTCTCTCCGAGAGTTTCTTTGTCTACCTAATCGGCTTATCATGCACGCCTCGGGTGTGACGCGCGGATTACTCGTCTATCCGACCTACGGAAGTCTTGCAGCACGAGGATCCTTTCGTTGCTCTCAATACCTTTTTAGCGAAAATTCTCCCTTTGAAAACAGAAAGAGGACACGGATTCGCATGTCGTTACTTTACCTTGTTCGGCAATCTCGATCTCCCGACGTCCGAAGCTGGCCTGGCCGATGTTCTTGACGCAGAAATCGGTAAAGCCTTTCGAAGACTTTTGAACTTTCTCCCGGGGCGAGACTCCTTCGTCATCCGAACTCGTGTCGGTATATGATGCTGCAAGCAGGAAAAATCTTTTTATTAAGAGCAGAGAAGGATCTGGCAACAGACAGCTCCCGGGCTTCGGGGGAAACTCGTCGCCTGCCCTCGATTCTCCCGAAGATATTCCGAGGTCCCACTCTGGATGCAAAAATTTGTGGAACCGCCGTTGAGCTCGAGAACTACGGAATCTTCGTTCAGCAGCTCCTCCATTGTAATTTACATCCTGGATAGTCTAGAGGCCGCTAGAGGCGGATCGATCATTCTCTTTGTGAGATTGTCACGGCCGCTGAGACGTGCCCGCTCCGAGCACGCCTGTCTCGCGCGTGATATCGGCGAAAATTCTGAGCAGCCGAGCTTGCTCGACGAGGATCAAACTTCCCCGGGAAAATTTCTCGACGCTCTTCGCGGCTCGCGGACTCCGGATGCCCACGTCGGGGTGCAGACCCGATCGTGCAGGAGGGACAAAGATCAATCAATCAGACAATCGCGGCTTGGAGTGGCACCGAGTCCTCTCGGAACACGTCTCCGGGAATCGTGCATTCAGATGCAGCTTCCCGAAAGCGGAGCCTCCCCCATCGATCTCTCCGTCACGGTCTCTCTATTTCATATTCGCGTGAGCAATCTCCCGCACCCGCGGAGGTAATGGAACAACTTATTCACGAGGTTATGCCAGGATAGGGACCGGAATAACATTCAAGCAAGGCAGCGAAATTTCGATTCACACGAAACCCCTGGAATGCCGCTTGCTCGCTCATACGTTTTTTCCTACCCCAGTCAGTCACACTGGATCCCATACGCGTGCCCGAAGGAATGCGGCACAAAAATAATTTTCCCTCATTCGAATAGATTTAGGGAGGAAGTGAAGAGCCCTTCCTCCCTTCACTTCAGTCCTGATTTCATGGAACGCTTCCACGCTCCGGGAAGCATCGGCCGGCTCGAGCGATAAGAGCCGCCATCAAAAGAAACGTGTTGTTGCTCCATTGGCGCATAGATCCAGTGCCGAGTCCTCCAAACGCTTTCGCAAGCTATCTTCTGTTCTCATCCGCACGGGCTCCCAGTTCTTTCGCGGAAACCTTTCTCAGACCGATTGGAGTTCGTCCACCGAGTGAGATGCCGCGCGCCGACGCCGGGATTTCCATGGAAAAACTCAGATTGCTTCATTCGGTTCACCGACAACGTGACAAAGGCGCAAATTCTTGGAGAAGTATGCTGATCGGAGGGAGTCGAGGGAGGCTTTCGGCGAAATCTGGGCCGAACCTCTCGCATGAAAGATCACGGAGCAAGAACCTCACTTAAGAACCTTTCTGCCGGCGGCGGAGTTTCACTCCTTGCATCAACAATTTATTCACTCAGAGCGATTTTCCTTTCCCGACCTCCGAGCGGGCGACCGAGCTGCCCTGATTCAACGCAAATGGAGAGCGGCCGAACGGATGTCGAACGCCATAAATCCCACCCGTAGATGAATCGACCGGTCGAAACTCGATCAGGCAAGTTGTCTTGGCTGAAAGCCTAATTGAAGTGGGTTCGGCTTCGAGTCGCCACGAGTCTTCCCGTTCTCCGACAAGTGCGTACTAAGTGAGCGCAAGGCGATACATGAGACCTTCCCTGCGGGAATGTTTCTCCCTCCTCCGGCGAACGTCGTCTGCGGCTGTTTTCATGCTTTCCCCGAGATGCTCATCGTCTCGACTCAATGTCAACATGATTGCTCGACTTGTCCCTTGGAAATGACAGCAATAACAACAAAGTTCTGCAGCTGAGACCGAGGCCGGGGAAACTTTCCGTCGGCTACTTCGATGGCAACATCAACAATTTCGCTTCGACACCGTATCGCGAACAGCTGTGCGAGCCCCAGAGACCAGTGAGCATGCTATAATACGGAGTTGGAGAGCATCCAATGATAGCCGCTGGAGTTTCGGTTCCCATCTTCACTTGACTTCGTTTGCTCTTCACGCTGTTGATTCCGTCTAAACTTGGCACGGCGCCGCCAGACTTCTGCTCATCAACGACGCCTCGGTGAGCAAAACACAGCCCCCCTGCGGACAGAGCAAACCGCGGTCCTTTAGAATCGTCGTTCTTCAAATGTTCCTCTCGGACTGCATTCACGTTGTTCGAGGACCTCAGCGGCAATTCCCGCGAAGTTTACCCCGGTCTCCCCTCCTCCTAGCCCCCAAACAAAAAAGGGCGGGGGGAAGAGGGGGTAGCTGACACTCGCAGCTAATTATGGCGTCCGCTTGCTTAGCTTCATGCGGAGGCTCTCCAAGATAAGAAAGGCTGACTCCGTTCAGAGCCGGATTCACAAGATAGTCGACTGCTGAAACGCGGCTCTCCATTGTTGAGAGTCCCGCGGTCAGAAAGGAAGTTCTCTCTGAGAGAACCTACGACTCCAAGCGAAAACCGTTTTCGCGCAAATTGCGTGGACTAAACGTTGTTTCTAGGAAGTGCAACTCGTAAGGGTCGAGTCAAAGGCGATCACAACTAATTGAGTACGCGTCGACAACGGTCCCGGAGGCTGGGGTCGGGAAGGCTCTGTTTAGGACACAAAGTGCTTCCCGCCAACACTCGCCAAGGAACGGCGAACAGGGTCTTACTCAGCAATATGTCGCCAATGGGAGAATGACTCTGAATTTTCGCAGCCTCTTTGAATGAGCGGACGTTGAATGCAGAAAACGGCATGGCTCGCAATGTTCCTATTGAAATATTTCCTTGGCTCATTTCTCGTCGGAAGAATCACTCCTCTCGCGGCGTTTCCCCCCTGAGAGTTCCCGTGCTCACTCCTCTCGACGTCACTCCGCATTGTCCGAATTCCATCGCGTCTTCCGAATCGGTCGCCCAAGCAATCCGAGCGGAAAACATGACGACGAGAGCTCCTATCCCTCGGGAGCTTCTGCAGGAGAAGATTCAACTGTCGAGGTTTTCTTGCCAGTCGAGGACTCTCTGAGCCCAAACTCGCTCCAAAAAACTCTGACGAGACGTCCGACTCAATCAGAAAGTATGCTCATGAGGCGAGACATCTGTCACTCCTCCGAGGAATATTCCGAGGGGTCCCGGTACTCTGTTGGCGACGCGAAAGAGCCGAATCTGAGAGCTGGAGGGACACACCCCACTCGGGATCAATTAAGCTCGCGCGTCGAGCTGGGAACTCTCGCGGCTGGGAAGTCGACGCCTTCGATTTTGCATCCGTTCGCGGAAACGTTAATGTGAGGTTTCGTCGCTCCACGCGACGAAAAAATTTCAAGCGAAGAGGAAATCCCGTCCTTGCGGATTCCGAGGGTCGGCTCAGCTACTACCCTGCCGTTGAGCGCGGATTCCGCCCACAACAGAGACGCACCGATGCTCACGGAAACTTACGACTCACTGAAACACGCTTGGGTAACCTGACGAGACAAACTCATACATCTATCTCGCATTGAAATTCATCGGAGCCGAGATCCATCTCCATCCCGAGCGGATTTTCCGCGAGACCAGAAGCGCAAGGGGGATACCAACTACTCGATGGGAACGACGCTGGAGATAAAAGCGGTGGGAGCATTTCCGGGGGAAACCGCGACCTGACCTTGTCACAGGGCTCGGCGGGCTTTTGTTTGTTGAAGCCGCGTGCACTCAGTCAGATAAGGGAATTCTGCCGTGAACGTCCAATTTCCCAGGGAGCTAACCAACCGTAGTCCACCGCCGCACACGTCAGGCGGAGCTTGTAGCTCGATATTGCAGCTGTGGTCCAGCTGCGAGGTAACTCCGGCAGACAGAGAAAAATGGACGAGCTCAGGAGGACTAAGGGGCGAAAGGAACTCGGACGCTGGTCATTTGTTCCGAGTGAAAAGTATTGCGAACGCGACCCACTTCCCGGAGACTCGCTCGGAATCTCTGGTATTCCAGACCTCATGCGGTATCTGGCAGATGACAAGTCATTCCTCGTTTCGAATACCTTGTAAGTTAAGTCTGGTGTCTATTACCCACTGCACGGCTCGAGAAATAGCTTCTCTCTCTGCCTACTCTATGCTAGCGCAAATATTCTTGCAATGATGCATCGAGCATTCCGCCGCGATATTTGTTGCGACGTACGCGATTCAAACCCCAATGTCACCCAATCAAAGACGTAGTCATGAAGGGACGCAATCCGAAATTAGTCGATGACTCGTGTCGGTGGGGGTTTCCCGAACATCGCCTTCCTCGTGCATTATAGTATTGGTCATGATGAATATGATGAGATGAGTCAAAGGCTTGCATCGAATATGGGTCCGTGCTATGAATGGAGCGAATGCCCCATCCTGTCGGCCCCATCGGAAGGCCTCTAGGGACTTGAATTCGATTCCGAACGGTCAAGACTTCCGCACGGCCCTCTTGAGAATCACCGAGCAGCGTTCTCGTTGTCTACGTCATCACAGCCATAGGACGGTTTCTATAGCTCAGCTGCGACGGACGAGATATTCTTCTTCGCAAATGGACTCGTATCCACGAAAATATTCCGGAGACGCCCAACTTGTCGACAAAGCTCCTTTCTTTAGACAGCGGCTCACTCGGACACGCAAGCTCGGGTCCATGGACTCGTCACTTGGTCGGAAATGTTACAGTTATGTGTCGTTTCCGCTTGGCGGGACTCACACGTTGACCAAAGGGTCTCTCTAGTTGAAGATAACAATCTGCGGTGGTCCTCGTTCCCATTTTCGTTGGCTCGTTGGATATCTTCGTCGTCACTGAACACGTCATCCATTACGACTTCAGGCATTCCGGATGAATTTCAGAAGCCGACCGGAACGGCGACTTTCGAATACGATCGCCGGAGTTTCAAGTGAATGAACACTGAGAACTCACACGGCTTGAGACAATGTGTGACAAGCAAAGCAGAACGTCCTCATTAGTGAACAGCCAGTTGTAAAAAATTTCCTCGCTATCTTTGAAATCATTCTGAGCACGTCAAAGTTTCACAACATCCCAGTATTTGGTCGTCTGCACCGGCGCAAGAAGCTGTTAAGAATCGTGCTCATGGGAGGTAGGAGACATCGAATCATTGGCTTAGG